AACACTCTTATAGGGGTGTGAAGCTTGGGTTGTGAATGTTGCAGCTAGGAGGTGGTTGGAGGCAGTGGAGATGTCCTGTCTAAGGGCAATGTGTGGTGTAAATATTATGCAGAAAATTGGAGTGTGGAAATTAGGAGAAGGTGTGGAGTTAATAAAAGTATTAGTCAGAGGGCAGAAGAGGGGTTGTTGAGGTGGTTTGGTCATTTAGAGAAAATGGATCACAATAGAATGACATGGAGAGCGTATAAATCTGTAAGGGAAGGAAGGCGGGGTAGGGGTCGCCCCGAGAAGGTTGGAGAGAGGGGGTAAAGGAGGTTTTGTGGGCGAGAGGCTTGAACCTCCAGCAAGCGTGAGTGAACGTGTTAGATAGGAGTGAATGGAGACGATTACTTTTTGGGACCTGGCGAGCTGTTGGAGTGTGAGCAGGGTAATATTTTGCGAGGGGATTCAGGGAAACCGGTAAGCCGGACTTGAGCTATGGAAATGGGAAGTACAATGACTGCACTTTAAAGCATTTGGGACACTGGCAGTTTGGAGGGATATCTAAACTGTCGTATCTGAGCACTTCTGCAAAGACAGTGATTACACACACACACACACACACACACACACACACACACACACACAACTAGAGAAAGTACAAAGGTTTGCAACAAGGTTAGTTCCAGAGCTAAGGGGAATGTCCTATGAAGAAAGATTAAGGGAAATCGGCCTGACGACACTGGAGGACAGGAGGGTCAGGGGAGACATGATAACGACATATAAAATACTGCGTGGAATAGACAAGGTGGACAAGGACAGGATGTTCCAGGGAGGGGACACAGAAACAAGAGGCCACAATTGGAAGTTGAAGACACAAATGAGTCAGAGAGATAGTAGGAAGTATTTCTTCAGTCATAGAGTTGTAAGGCAGTGGAATAGCCTAGAAAATGACGTAGTGGAGGCAGGAACCATACACAGTTTTAAGACGAGGTTTGATAAAGCTCATGGAGCGGGGAGAGAGAGGGCCTAGTAGCAACCGGTGAAGAGGCGGGGCCAGGAGCTAGGACTCGACCCCTGCAACCACAAATAGGTGAGTACAAATAGGCGAGTACACACACACACACACACACAACGCACACACACACGCACACTGTGAAGGCTTACTCAGCCCTGTAACAACTTCAGTCAGTATTACCAAGGCTGGCTCCTCCTCAGGAAAATTAATGAATAGAAAAAGAAATAACAGACAATGATAAACACTTTATTATTTAGAAACGGAAAATGTAAAACAATAAAACATGAATAGGTATCCTAACTGAAAGAAAAATGAAAAATGAAATGAAAAAAATTACATTTGAACTCAACGCTAATATAGGTATATCGTGGTAATGGGGTGTCAGGTGTTGGTAACCACACCAGCTCGTTCTTCACATAGTGTAGCCGTGAATAATTACTTCAGATGACAGGAAAACAGGTTCGTTACCACTGCTATGATGAGGGGTTAGGTCCTGTGTTGGCTTACATAACAGGTAAGTAGATTAAACATGGGACGTCTCAGGACGTTAGTCCATCTCCTTCTATTCTTCTCGTTGGTCGGCAGGTGACCCTCTCTGTCATTCCTTGCTGTAAAGAGAGACAGATTACCCACTGCTTAAGAAATCACTCTCCATGATAAGTACAATACCTAAAAGATGTGGTGATTATTAAAACATTTAACAGATAAAGACTGAAAGGACTAAGTTAATTATTGGTCAAAAGTGAAGCTTTCAACCAATAAGTCCACTAAAATATGATCAGGCGTGTACTTACAGAAGTGTTGGGAGCTGTGAGTCGAGTGATTTACTGTTTGACCGGAGCCCCACACGTCACCTTTCGGGGGGGGGGGGGGGGGGAGAGGGAGGGGAAGGGATAGCGGGAGCTAGACTGACCCTACCTTAACAAGTAGCCGGCAATGAAACTGTTGTTACTATACACTCCCTCGCTACTCCTATCTATTGACCCCTCAAGGAAGGTTCCTTGATGTTGGTGAGGGGCTCTTGATTTAGGGAATTGGATCTGTGCTCCAGTTCCCCGAATTAAGCCTGAATGCCTTCCACATCCCCCCCCCCAGGCGCTGTATAATCCTCCGGGTTTAGCGCTTCCCCCTTGATTATAATAATAATCCTATCTATTGAACTTTTCCCTCACACACACACACACACACATACACACACACACACACACACACACACACACACACACACACATACACAACCACACACACACACACACACATATAAGTTCTAAGCAAAATATATTTTAACTCCAGTAAAGATCAACGTGAAAATTAAAAATTTGTAATTTTTTTCGGACAAGAACATAGACGGAAGTTTTGCTTTTGCGTCAAAGAGAATAGTTGAGTTATTTTTTTTTTCAACCTCTGGTTTGTTTACGAATTTTCAACTAGCAAGTGTGTGTGTGTGTGTGTGTGTGTGTGTGTGTGTGTGTGTGTGTGTGTGTGTGTGTGTGTGTTAGTGTGTGTGTGTGTTAGTGTGTGTGTGTTAGTGTGTGTGTGTTAGTGTGCGTGTGTTAGTGTGCGTGTGTTAGTGTGTGTGTGTTATGTGTGTGTGTGTTAGTGGTGTGTGTTAGTGTGTGTTAGTGTGTGTGTGTTAGTGTGTGTGTGGTTAGTGTGTGTGTGTTAGTGTGTGTGTGTGTTAGTGTGTGTGTGTTAGTGTGTGTTAGTGTGTGTGTGTTAGTGTGTGTTAGTGTGTGTGGTGTTAGTGTGTGTGTGTTAGTGTGTGTTAGTGTGTGGTGTGTGTTAGTGTGTGTGTGTTAGTGTGTGTTAGTGTGTGTGTGTTAGTGTGTGTTAGTGTGTGTGTGTTAGTGTGTGTGTTAGTGTGTGTGTTAGTGTGTGTGTGTGTGTGTGTGTGTGTGTGTGTGTGTGTGTGTGTGTGTGTGTTAGTGTGTGTGTTAGTGTGTGTGTTAGTGTGTGTGTGTGTTGTGTGTGTGTGTTAGTTGTGTGTTTAGTGTGTGTTAGTGTGTGTGTGTGTTAGTGTGTGTTAGTGTGTGTGTGTTAGTGTGTGTTAGTGTGTGTGTGTTAGTGTGTGTGTGTTAGTGTGTGTGTGTGTGTGTGTGTGTGTGTACTCACCTAGTTGAGGTTGTGTGTGTGTGTGTGTGTGTGTGTGTGTGTGTGTGTGGGGTGTGTGTGTGTGTGTGTGTGTGTGTGTGTGTGTGTGTGTGTGTGTGTGTGTGTGTGTGTGTGTGTGTGTGCGTGTGTGTGTGTGTGTGTACTCACCTATTTATGGTTGCAGGGGTCGAGACATAGCCCCTGGCCCCGCCTGTATACTGGTCTCTACTAGGTCCTCTCTCTCCCGGCTCCGTGAGCTTTATCGTACCTCGTCTTAAAACTATGTATGGTTCCTGCCTCCACTACCTCACTTGCTAGACTATTCCACTTCCTGACAACTCTATGACTGAAGAAACACTTCCTAACATCCCTTTGACTCATCTGAGTCTTCAGCTTCCAATTGTGACCTCTTGTTTCTGTGTCCCATCTCTGGAACATCCTGTCTGTCCACCTTGTCAATTCCAAGCAGTATTTTGTATGTCGTTATCATGTCTTCCCTAACCCTCCTGTCCTCCAGTGTCGTCAGGCCGATTTCCCTTAACCTTTCTTCGTAGGACATTCCCCTTAGCTCTGGAACCAACCTTGTTGCAAACCTATGCACTTTCTCTAATTTCTTGACGTGCTTGACCAGGTGTGGGTTCCAAACTGGTGCTGCATACTCCAGTATGAGCCTGACGTACACAGTGTATAGGCTGTTGAACGATTCTGAGGTATTGGAACACTATTCTCAGGTTTGCCAGGCGCCCATATGCTGCAGCAGTTATCTGGTTGAGGTGTGCTTCAGGAGATGTGCTCGGTGTTATGCTCACCCCAAGATCTTTCTCCTTGAGTGAGGTTTGCAGTCGTGTGCGCGTGCAAGGATTTGAGTGGAAGGGTTAGGTTAGGTTAGGTTAGATTAGGTTAGGTTAGGCTAGGTTAGGTCAGGTTAGGTTAGGCTAGGTTAGGTCAGGTTAGGTTAGGTCAGGTTAGGTTAGGTTAGGTCAGGTTAGGTTAAGTTAGGTCAGGTCAGGTTAGGTTAGGTTAGGTTAGGTTAGGTCAGGTTAGGTTAAGTTAGGTTAGGTCAGGTCAGGTTAGGTTAGGTAAGGCTAGGTTAGGTTAGGTTTGTCGGGAAACAGGACAAGTGTTTCCTGACGTTGGTCTTAGTCATAGAATGACCCTCAGCTTTTGGTCATTTGACCGAGGCCTTCCGCTGGCTTACCCCTCCACCCCTATAAAAATTATGGTGATAAGTATAATTAAGACAGGAAGGATAATATTACTTTATGGGCGGGGGGGGGAATTTTAAGGTCAATGGGCGCCTTTTAATGGGTACATGAGTTGCTGGGATACAAGCTTATTTTATGTAAATTTTGTATATGCAAATTTTGTAATTTTGACACAAATAACACACATCTAAGAGGCTGAAACGTCTGTCGACGTTTCGGTCGGACGAGGACCATTGACCTGTCACACACAGGTTATTTATGTATTGTTTCAATTACGGTATCCTGCCTTGCCATTTTTTGGTACGTTTATACTTGCGTATATTAGAGCCTATGCGGAGTACGCTGTGTATGTGTGTGTGCGTTCCATGTTTGCATCAGAGTATGTTTGTATTGTGTACGTTCTGTACGTGAAACGTTCATATTGTGTACGTTCTGTACGTGAACCGTTCATACTGCGTACGTTCTGTACATGAAATGTCTATATTGTGTACGTTCTGTACGTGAAATGTCTATATTGTGTACGTTCTGTACGTGAAATGTCTATATTGTGTACGTTCTGTACGTGAAATGTCTATATTGTGTACGTTCTGTATGTGAAATGTCTATAGTATGTACATTCTGTACGTGAAATGTTTATCATGTGAATATTTTAATATATATTTTTGTACATGTTAGGCTAATTTTCAATTTGTTTTCCTGACAGATACAGAAACGGACACGTCCGTGGTGGAAGTGGTAGCTGGTTACAATGCTTCATTACCGTGTACCATACACTCTCCGCCACACGATTCCCCTGTTCTCACACTATGGTACATTGGTGCTGATGAAACACCTGTGTACAGGTGAGTACATTGGTGAGGATACACCTGTGTACAGGTAAGTACATTGTCGATGTAGCACTTGTGTACAGGTAAGTGCATTGCTAATGAAGCACTTGTGTGCGGGTAAGTACATTGGTGATAAGGATACACCTGTGTACAGGTAAGTACATTGGTGATAAGGATACACCTATGTACAGGTAAGTACATTGGTGATAAGTTTACACCTGTGTACAGGTAAGTATACTGGTGATAAGTTTACACCTGTGTACAAGTAGTTTTCTCCAACCTTACATCACTCAGTAGTTTTCTCCAACCTTACATCACTCAGTAGTTTTCTCCAACCTTACATCACTCAGTAGTTTCCTCCAACCTTACATCACCCAGTAGTTTCCTCCAACCTTACATCACTCAGTAGTTTCCTCCAGCCTTACATCACCCAGTAGTTTCCTCCAACCTTACATCACTCAGTAGTTTCCTCCAACCTTACATCACTCAGTAGTTTCCTCCAACCTTACATCACCCAGTAGTTTCCTCCAGCCTTACATCACTCAGTAGTTTCCTCCAGCCTTACATCACTCAGTAGTTTCCTCCAGCCTTACATCACTCAGTAGTTTCCTCCAACCTTACATCACTCAGTAGTTTCCTCCAACCTTACATCACTCAGTAGTTTCCTCCAACCTTACATCACCCAGTAGTTTCCTCCAGCCTTACATCACCAGTAGTTTCCTCCAGCCTTACATCACTCAGTAGTTTCCTCCAGCCTTACATTACTCAGTAGTTTCTCCAGCCTTACCATCACTCAGTGTTTCCCCCAACCTTACATCACTCAGTAGTTTCCTCCAGCCTTAAAATCACTCAGTAGTTTCTCCAGCCTTACATCACTCAGTAGTTTCCTCCAGCCTTACATCACTCAGTAGTTTCCTCCAGCCTTACATCATCAGTAGTTTCCTCCAGCCCTTACATCACTCAGTAGTTTCCTCCAGCCTTACATCACTCAGTAGTTTCCTCCAGCCTTACATCACTCAGTAGTTTCTCCAGCCTTACATCACTCAGTAGTTTCCTCCAGCCTTACATTTACTCAGTAGTTTCCTCCAGCCTTACATCACTCAGTAGTTTCCTCCAGCCTTACATCACTCAGTAGTTTCCTCCAGCCTTACATCACTCAGTAGTTTCCTCCAGCCTTACATCACTCAGTAGTTTCCTCCAACCTTACATCACTCAGTAGTTTCCTCCAACCTTACATCACTCAGTAGTTTCCTCCAACCTTACATCACTCAGTAGTTTCCTCCAACCTTACATCACTCAGTAGTTTCCTCCAACCTTACATCACCCAGTAGTTTCCTCCAACCTTACATCACTCAGTAGTTTCCTCCAGCCTTAATTTACTCAGTAGTTTCCTCCCGCCTTACATCACTCAGTAGTTTCCTCCAGCCTTACATCACTCAGTAGTTTCCTCCAGCCTTACATCACTCAGTAGTTTCCTCCAGCCTTACATCACTCAGTAGTTTCCTCCAGCCTTACATCACTCAGTAGTTTCCTCCAGCCTTACATCACTCAGTAGTTTCCCCCAACCTTACATCACTCAGTAGTTTCCTCCAACCTTACATCACTCAGTAGTTTACTCCAACCTTACATCACTCAGTAGTTTCCTCCAACCTTACATCACTCAGTAGTTTACTCCAACCTTACATCACTCAGTAGTTTCCTCCAGCCTTACATCACTCAGTAGTTTACTCCAACCTTACATCACTCAGTAGTTCCCTCCAACCTTACATCACTCAGTAGTTTACTCCAACCTTACATCACTCAGTAGTTTACTCCAACCTTACATCACTCAGTAGTTTCCTCCAGCCTTACATCACTCAGTAGTTTACTCCAACCTTACATCACTCAGTAGTTTCCTCCAGCCTTACATCACTCAGTAGTTTACTCCAACCTTACATCACTCAGTAGTTTCCTCCAGCCTTACATCACTCAGTAGTTTCCTCCAACCTCACATCACTCAGTAGTTTCCTCCAGCCTTACATCACTCAGTAGTTTCCTCCAGCCTTACATTTACTCAGTAGTTTCCTCCAGCCTTACATCACTCAGTAGTTTCCTCCGCCTTACATCACTCAGTAGTTTCCTCCAGCCTTACATCACTCAGTAGTTTCCTCCAACCTTACATCACTCAGTAGTTTCCTCCAACCTTACATCACTCAGTTTCCTCCAACCTCACATCACTCAGTAGTTTCCTCCAACCTTACATCACTCAGTAGTTTCCTCCAACCTCACATCACTCAGTAGTTTCCTCCAACCTTACATCACTCAGTTTCCTCCAACCTCACATCACTCAGTAGTTCCCTCCAACCTCACATCACTCAGTTTCCTCCAACCTTACATCACTCAGTAGTTTCCCCAACCTCACATCACTCAGTAGTTTCCTCCAACCTTACATCACTCAGTAGTTTCCTCCAACCTTACATCACTCAGTAGTTTCCTCCAACCTCACATCACTCAGTAGTTTCCTCCAACCTTACATCACTCAGTAGTTTCCTCCAACCTTACATCACTCAGTAGTTCTCCAACCTCACATCACTCAGTAGTTTCCTCCAGCCTTACATCACTCAGTAGTTTCCTCCAACCTTACATTTACTCAGTAGTTTCCTCCAACCTTACATCACCAGTAGTTTCCTCCAACCTTACATCACTCAGTAGTTTCCTCCAACCTTACATCACCCAGTAGTTTCCTCCAACCTTACATCACTCAGTAGTTTCCTCCAACCTTACATCACCCAGTAGTTTCCTCCAACCTTACATCACTCAGTAGTTTCCTCCAACCTTACATCACTCAGTAGTTTCCTCCAACCTTACATCACTCAGTTTCCTCCAACCTCACATCACTCAGTAGTTCCCTCCAACCTTACATCACCCAGTAGTTTCCTCCAACCTTACATCACTCAATAGTTCCCTCCAACCTTACATCACCCAGTAGTTCCCACCGACTCGTAACTGCTGGAGAATTCTCCCCATCCTACACATCCTTACCTCCTGAAAGTTCTATGACGTTTCTCTTTGTTCTTTGTCCCCGTGAACGGGGACCACCTTCACAGCTGACAGTGTCTTCTATGACAACCACTGTCGACATTCTGATTCACTTCGTCAAAGTGACAGACTTGATTGGGGTGATGGAGGTCAGTCATGTCTTCGTGACTGAACATATTCGTATCTACGCAGGAATAGTCTTTACCCTTCCTATTTAGTTACTCGAGGACCTTTCCACTTACCATATACCACGCATGTATTCGTAGATAGTGCATGAATGGTCTTAATGCAGGTAGATGTAGACATGTAGTTTTCAGCAGATAACGTCAGACTCTTTCTCTGATGACGATGGATAAGACACATTTGCAACATTTGAGTGTCTTAATGAAGACTTTCCGTCAGCGTCTTAAGTGTTGCACATGTGTATTGTTCGTCAACTTGTCGGTACTGTATACCATTTGTGCTTTGACTCTCTCTCTCTCTCTCTCTCTCTCTCTCTCTCTCTCTCTCTCTCTTTCATTCCCACAAGCTTCACCACAGCAGCCTCATAATTGCTTTCAAAGAAAACACATTCCCACGCATTCCAACTTCAGATTTTTTTTAATGTTCAGTTTTTGGGAGCAGGTCTGTGTGGGATTGCTTACTTTTTGCTGCAAGGCGAGTGCCATGGCAACACTAGCGCCCGCTAGGAGAATTCTATTTCACGTTCTTTTGAGCTACGGAGTCCTCGTTCAGGTGTGTCCTGAGTCAAACACGACGTCCATGCTAGCTTCTGTAGACTCTCAGCATCTGCCGGAAAATACTTGTATTCTCTCTACAGCTGATGGAGGTAGTAACTACGTAGTTGCAAACACACACACACACACACACACACACACACACACACAAAATGTTAGCAAGTGGAGCAGGAGGCGGAAGTTGCCCACCAAGAAGGAAGTGGCACTGGATGGAAGGTAGAGAGTTTATCGTCACAAATTGACTTATACACTTGAGGAAATGAGATTCTTGAGAAGGTAGAATCACTCACGCAATCCTTCACTCCCTCACTAATTCACTCACTCATTCGTCTGCTCACTCACTGACTCTCACTCGTTTGCTCACTCACACAGGCAACAACAAAAAATAGGAATAAAGATTTAAAGCAATAGGTTGAAAACCACACACGGAGAAGTAAAGATAAGATAAGATAAGATAAGATTTCGTTCGGATTTTTAACCCCGGAGGGTTAGCCACCCAGGATAACCCAAGAAAGTCAGTGCGTCATCGAGGACTGTCTAACTTATTTCCATTGGGGTCCTTAATCTTGTCCCCCAGGATGCGACCCACACCAGTCGACTAACACCCAGGTACCTATTTGCTGCTAGGTGAACAGGACAATAGGTGTAAGGAAACGTGTCGGAATTTCCACCCGCCGGGAATCGAACCCGGGCCCTCCGTGTGTGAAGCGGGAGCTTTAGCCACCAGACCACCGGGCCACCTAAAGGTAAAGGTAATTATCAAATAACGTATATCGCCAGATTAACTCAAAAGCAACATACTTAATGTTATTAATGTGAAACTGACTGACGGATGGCATTCTTGGACCACAACAATCAACCAAGATACTGATTACGAAATACCTTCGAGTATGCAGCGCCAGCAGGAAGCCCACAGCATATCCAGAAACTAGAGAAAGTTCAGAAATTCTCACAGCTCTACTTCTGAAAATATAATTAGGTGACACGCAGATAAGTTCGAGTTCGAGCCGTCTTGAACTTGATATGAAGAGTCCAAGAAGAAAGGTGCCTCGATAAAAAGGCCTCTATATAAAGGCCTAAATGAAAGTTAGGCATTCATATGAGTCACAGAAAAGTTGAAGATGAATTGATGGACTTGAAGGAAGAAGCAGTGGATTGATGGATTCAAGAGTAAATACTATGGAGCTAAATTATATCCAACAAACAATACTCTACATTCCGGCCCCCAGAAAAACACACCCTCTCTCCTAACCTCCTCTCTTTCTTTACATATACAGGGTGGCCACAAAACATTCCCTGATTTCAAACAGGTAGAACATGCAACTTTACTGTAATAATCTTTCATAGTAGCTTCAGATGCAGGATTTCATTCAGTTTCATGTGGTGGTTAACGCTCTGGCTTCACACGGTGAGGGTCTGGGTTCGATTCCCAGCCAGAGTAGAAACATTGGACGTGTTTCTTTCCACCTGTTGTCTATGTTCCCCATCAGTAAAATGGGTACCTGGGTGTTAGTCGACTGGTGTGGGTCGCATCCTGGGACACTGACCTAATTTGCCCGAGATGCTCAGCATAACAAGTGGCTTTCTATATAGTAGTATGTTATTGTTGTCAGCTAGGACTGTATACCTTGTACATGTACTTGTAGTAAATAAAGATTATTATTATTATTATTATTATAGGGTAGCATTAAAGGCACTCAATGTGCACCCCTCTGGTTGCTCGGTAAACATCGATGTGATAGTTCAGTTCGGTCCAGACGCTCTGCAGCATATCTGGTGTTATCATGCCAACTGCTTCGGTGATCGAAATTTTCAGCTCCTCCAGGGTTGCAGGTAGTAGTGGCACATAAACTGTGCTCTTCACGTACCCCCAATGAAAGAAGTAACAAACAGTTAGGTCCGGTGACCTCGCAGGCCACTTGTAGAGGTCACCAGACATAACTGTTTGTGACTTCTTTCTTTGGGGGTACGTGAAGAGCACAGTTATTTAATCCTCTCGTTAATGTTATTGTAAATAACTCAGTTTACCTTATTCCTACTACATCTCGTTTTATTGTATCTGTTTTTCACATAGTTAAGTAACTTAGTTATTATAGGTAATCTACACATATGCTGCTATGTATGATGATTTATGTAACTGTATTTGTGTGTACCTGTACTTGAATAAAATTTAATGCATTTACCCTTGACAAATTCAAAAAGATCCGTTTTCTGTAATCCCCATTTTCTCTGGTTTGTCAGTTTTATATATGTTGACCCATAGCAGCAAAATTTTCGTTTTCTGTAATACCCGTTTTCTCTCCCACAGCATTGAATAAGTTTACCCTTAACACTAGACTAAATTTTCGTTTTCTGTAATGCCTATTTTCTCTCTTCACTTTTCCAGCTCTGAATAAGTTTACCCTCAACACCAAAGTTTCCGTCTTCTGTAACTCCCATTTTCTCTGGTTCCTCAGTTATGATCAGCGACTGGGCGTGAGTGGGGTGTCGTGGGCGGATCCCCAGGTGTACCAAGGGCGTGCGCACTACATGGCACACCTCAACCCACCGGCGATGCACATCATGAGCACTTCCGTGGAGGATGCGCATGTGTACCGCTGCCGTGTTGACTTTCACAACTCTAATTCCCGTGTAGCGTGGGTCCGATTAAAAGTCATTGGTAAGTTAGTAAGTACGCTATTCTTTAGCCTTCATGTGTAAGCATTAAACAATTTTTACAACGCTCTCAGGACAGATATAATATTTAGATACCAATAACAACTATAAAAATACGAGTAACTTACACCAGACCAAAAGTCACGAGCACGTTAATAATTTACTAATAAAGCAAAAAGAAGCTTGAGGTATAAAAATCATTGGTGAGATAATAATGTAAATATACAGTCTGAACAATAATTACGAATGATAACAGCCCCTCACGGGCTTTTGATACGAGGAACTGGAGCTTGTCCCCTTTTCCTATAGCTCAAACCTGAGTATCTTCTATTCTGTAGTGCTGTGTATATATATATATATATATATATATATATATAATATATATATATATATATATATAGTCTTCCTACATTATTTTTCCCTGGGCATGTTTATAGTTCATAATACTGATCATTCTATTTCTGAAGCGTTAATAGATAATCACTCCGGGAGGTGTAGAAGGCAATCTATTGAGAATTTGTTTATGAGGCCATGATCTGGTGAGATAATTGGGTGGAAAGAGTGGGAAGGTTCGGGGGGGGGGGGAGGGTAAGTGTGAGTGAGAGTGTGTGTGTGTGTGTGTGTGTGTGTGTGTGTGTGTGTGTGTGTGTGTGTGTGTGTGTGTGTGTGTGTGTGTGTGTGTGGTGTGTGTGTGTGTGGGCGGGGGCTGACTACGTATGCGTTGCCTACCCTTGCTCCCTCTAATCAATAGAGCACTGCCAGTGTGAAGCCAAGGCCGTTCCCCCACTCACCACACACACTCACACCTGGAAGGCTGTCTCCCCCATCACGCACTCTGATCGCAAGTGCACTCATCATCCAGAGTGAAACTGACGAGTTTCACTGTAATCTTTCGGTTTGGAGGCACACACATCCACACACCCACATCCACACACACACCCACACCCCCCACATCCACACACACACCCACACCCCCCACATCCACACACACATCCACACACACACACCCACATACCACACACACATCCACACACATCCACACACCTCCACATCCACACACACACACACACCCACATCCACACACACACACACATCCACACACACAACGCCACCACACACAATCCACACACAATCCACACACCACACACATACAATCCACACACACACACAATCCACACACACACCCCCATATCCACACACCCACCCCGACATCCACCCACCCCACATCCACACACACACACCCACATCCACACACACTCATACACACTACACTCAACACGACCTGTAATTTAGTCTCTCATTATACAAAATAACATGGACACGAACTCACGTCCTACATAGCACAAAGAAAAAAGAATACGTAAAAAAAAGAGAGAGGGATATATAACAGAAACCAATCAACAGCTATACCACATTACGAACGACCTCTCAACTAGGGCACAGACACGTAATTCGGTACATGCCTTTGATGTGAAGGACATTTAGCGTAAGGAAGGGTTTCGGAAGGTGCGAAACGTGGCCTCCGGTATAGATTTGCTCGGTATTACGTTTTTTTTTTTTGCGTATTTTTTTTGGCCTTCTCGCCCCACTTTCAAAGAAGCACGTGAACACACACTTAATATGAAAGTGCATTATAAAATAATGCTTTTTTAAAGCAACGTTTCGCTCAGGATAAGAGACGTTTCGCTCAGGATAAGAGACGTTTCGCTCAGGATAAGAGAAGTTTCGCTCAGGATAAGAGAAGTTTCGCTCAGGATAAGAGACGTTTCGCTTAGGATAAGAGACGTTTCGCTCAGGATAAGAGAAGTTTCGCTTAGGATAAGAGACGTTTCGCTCAGTATAAGAGACGTTTCGCTCAGGATAAGAGACGTTTCGCTCAGGATAAGAGACGTTTCGCTCATGATAAGAGACGTTTCGCTCAGGATAAGAGACGTTTCGCTCAGGATAAGAGACGTTTCGCTCAGGATAAGAGACGTTTTAAATCAACACACTCGTGGTAGATTTGGAAAACAATGTGTACTTCACAGACATCCCAACAGGAGACCACACAACGACGCACTTGTTACCTCGGCACAGGAGAACGCACTCACCCACCGACGCACTTACCGACGCACTTATCCACCGACGCACTCACCACTCGCCTATCGACACAAGCTTCTTCATGTCTCAAAAGATGGAAAAAAAAAATCTATGAAATATTACGCTGTCAGGCGTCTTGGCATGTTCAGATTGACAACTCCTTGGAAGAGATTAAGCTCTCCATCTTGAAAGTATTTGAGAGAGAGAGAGAGAGAGAGAGAGAGAGAGACAGGAACAGAAAAGAAAAGTGTATTGACCAGGTGGCAAGAAATGCTATCATTAGTTTAGTACTCAGGGTAAAACCAGAATCATTTAGAAAATTAAAAAAAAAAAAAAATAGATTATACGCAGTAAAGACAGAAGACGGTTGTCCATCTATTTCAAAGTATATTTTATTTGCTTTGAAGCAAGACATTTGTGGAGACAGTTAAGAATTTTCACTCTGGTAAACATGCGAGAGCTTCTTTGAGTGAAGGTATGCATACGAATGAAGGTATGAATACAGATAGATGCATGAATGCAGGTGTATGTATGAATGCAGGAGATGTAAACATAGTTATTAGTAAGAAAGCAATATATTCGTTTTTTTTGTGAACACACACACGCACGCACACACATACACACACACACAGGGGATGGAGAAGACAGACAGGAGATCCCAGACCCAGGAAGAAGATCAAATACAGCCTCCCTCACAACTTCCTATAGAAGCCTCCCAACCAGGTCAACCCCAGTGCAACCAAACTCTAAATCAAAACACCCATGCCACATCCAATGCCCCCACCCACTACATTACAAACTTCACCCCCACAGCAACAACCCATAGTTCCTTACCAGGTCTCCCACTTCCCCAACCCCAATATACCTCCCAGACCACAGTCTTAGAAAAGAAGTTGAAGGTGTGGTATACAAATGCAGATGGAATAACAAACAAGTATGAGGAGTGGCACGAAAGAATCAAAGAGACATCTCCAGACATAATAGCACTCACAGAAACAAAACTCACCAGAATAATAACAGATTCAATCTTTCCATCCGGATACCAAATCCTCAGGAAAGACAGAGGGAGGAGAGGGGGAGGAGGAGTTGCACTGCTCATTAAAAACCAGTGGGATTTTGAGAAAATGGAAGGAATGGATGGCATGAGCGAAAGGGACTACTTAGTAGGAACAATCCAGTCTGAGGGACATAAGGTGATAATTGCAGTAATGTACAACCCACCACAGAATTGCAGGAGGCCAAGAGAAGAATACGATGAGAGCAACAGAGCAATGATCGACACACTAGCCGAGGTGGCCAGGAGAGCACACATGGGGGAAGCAAAGTTACTAGTTATGGGTGATTTCATCACAAGGAGATTGACTGGGAAAACCTGGAGCCCCATGGGGTCCCGAAACATGGAGACCCAAGATGAGGATGTGGTATGGAAAACCTCATGCATCAACATGTTTAGAGACACTACCAGAGAGAGAGGAGAGGATGAACCAGCAAGACTGGACCTTGTATTCACCATGAGTAGTTCGGACACGAGGGTATCATGTATGAAAGGCCTCTGGAGCTGTGATCATGTGGTTCTGTGTTTTCGACTACATAGTTGAGCTCCAAGGGGAAGAGGTAGCAGGAATAGGCTGGAGAAAAAGCAAACTAAAAAAAGGGGGAATTACTCAGGCATGAGGAACTTCCTTCAAGACATTCAGTGGGAGAGGGAAACTGACGGGGAAAACCATAAAAGAAATGGACTATGTAGCAACAAAATGCAAGGAGGCAGAGGAGAGGTTTGTTCCAAGGGAAACAGAAATAATGGGAAGAACAGAACGAGTCCTTGGTTCCCCCAAAGGTGTAGGGAGGAAAAAAACTAGGTGTTACTAGAGAATGGAAAAGGTACAGAAGACGGGAGAACTCAGGAAAATAAAGAAATCAGCCGAAGAGCCAGAAACGAATATGCACAGATAAGAAGGAGGCAGAGACAATAGGGAAAATGACATAGCATCAAAAGTAAAGACTGACCCGAAGCTGTTGTACAGCCACATCAGGAGGAAAACAACAGTCAAGGACCAGGTAATCAGACTGAGGAAGGGTGATGGGGAATTCACAAGAAACGACCAAGGTATGTCAGGAGCTCAACACAAGATTTAAAGAGGTATTTACAGTGGAAACCCGTAGGACTCCAGGAAAACAGAACAGGGGGGCACCCAGCAAGTGCTGGATGAGGTACATATAACCCAAAGGGGGAGGTGAAAAAGCTGCTATGCGAAATTGACACCTCAAAGGCGGGGGACCAGACAACATCTCTCCATGGGTCCTTAAAGAGGAGCAGAGTATTGTGTGAGCCTTTAACAAAGATCTTCAACACATCATTTGAAATGGGCAACTCCCTGAGGTATGGAAATGGCAAATGTAGTCCCAATTTTTTTAAAAGGGAGACAGGGCATGAGGCACTAAACTACAGACCTGTATCACTAACGTGTATAGTATGCAAGGTCATGGAGAAGCTCATCAGGAGGAGAGTGGTGGGGCACTGGAAAGAAACAAGCGTATAATTTTACAACCAGCACGGTTTCAGGGAAGGAAAATCCTGTGTCACAAACCCACTAGAGTTTTATGACAAGGTGACAGAAGTAAGACAAGAGAGAGAGGGGTGGATCGACTGCATATTTTTGGACTGCAAGACGGCCCCTTTGACACAGTTCCTCACAAGAGGTTACGCAAAAGCTAGAGGGGTCAGGCATAACATAACAGGAAAGGCCCCTGCAAAAGGATCAAAAAATACCTGACAGGGAGGCAACAACGAGTCATGGTACGCGGACGAGGTGTGTCAGAGTGGGCGCCTGTGACAAGCGGGTTCCACAGGGGTCAGTCCCAGGACCTGTGCTGTTCTTGGTATATGTGAACGACATAACTGAAGGGATAGACTCAGAAGTGTCC